CGGTCCCGACCCGGGGGCGACGCAGCCCAGGCAGGCGGCGGGGTTGGGGGGGTGTCCCGGGACGGATGGGCGGGGAGACCTCCTCGGAGCAGGGCGCTCCCACTGCCGGTGCTCCAAGCAATCTGTGTCCTGAATCTGTGACTTCTTCTCGCTGCGGAAGTCTCCCAGGAGCCAAGAATAGTTCGTTTTCTTTCGAGTCATTTCTAGTGCCTGGGTCTCTGGGCCCTCCGAGTCTCCCCATCTCCCGCCGCCCCACAGAGAAAACATGGGGAAGGTGGCCGGGGAGGGCGGCTGGAAAAGCCGGGCCCCCGTCCGCCTCCTGCCCCCTTGCGCAAAGGAGGAGCGCGCCCCGCCGCCCGACGGGGGCTGGGGGGATTGGAGGGGGGAGGTCTGACAGGGCTAAGCGAGCTGCTCCTTAACGCTCAGGAAGTGAAGCTTGTGGCTTTGGGGGCTGAGCTCGGAAGGAGATTGAAAAAGAGAGAGAGAGCGCGGTCTCTCCTGAAAGCAACTCAGTTTGAAAACTCTCGGAGCTCGGTGCCCGCGCCCTGACCCCGCAGGTAGGTCCGCTGCACCTCCCACCCTGGCGGGGGCGGCCGCGGGACCAGGCAGGGCGCCCGCACTGCGGGGGTGACCAGAGGGCGCCGCGGGGTTCCCACCGGCGGCCGGCCGCCCTTGAGGAGCTCGGAGAGGGCTATCCTCTGGGTCCCCGCGCGACCCGCACCGCGGGGCTGGGGTCTGGCGCAAAGGACGCTCGCCAGGCTGTTGGTAGTTCTGCAGGGGCGCGAGATCCACCGGGAAGGAAACATCTAGTCGGGAGGCAGTGGCAACTGGGCCCAGGAGGCTGCCCGCTCCGCACCTCGCGCTCCCGCCTTCCCAGGACCTGACGGTGAAGCCAGGCCCGGCCAGCCCGCGCGCGCTAACGGGCCCGACCCGCCCCGCCCCGCTCCGCCCCTGGCCGCCAGCTGCTGCGAGAGGTCGCCTTCCCACGCGCTCAGCCCTCGGCCCTACTGCTCCTCCACCGATTCCACCCTCCCAAGAACAGACAGAGCCAGCCGGGGTGCGAGAGAGGCGCGGGGCCGCGGCCCGGGCCGGGGGTCTGCTTCCGCGCCGGCCTGAACGATACCGCGCGGTCCCAGCCCAGATTCAGCGGCGGCGGCGGCAGCTCACCCCCTGCCTCCCCGCCCCCGCCCGCTGCGCGCCAACGCAGACCCAGGCCGCAGGGCCCTCGGGACTTTTTCACCCAGTTTTCCTTTTCCTCTGAGTTTCATGGTTGTTTAAGAAACTGGGTTTTGCGTTTGTGGTGTTTAACTATACAGCCGACCGAAGGGCTCACGCCGGGGCTCAGGGGAAAATGAAGGCACAACCGCGCGCTAGGGCAGCCCAGCATCCTGAAGCCCAGGTCCTTGTATCCTCCCGGATACAAGCGGGAGGCACCCTTACCCCTAGGAGCCTCCTGGCGTTTAGGACGCGGGAGACGCCGCTTGGGACTTCGCTACTTGTCCCAGCCGTCTTTTCTCCCAAGCTTGTCCCCACTATTCCTCTGGGGAAGGGGACGCAGTAGGGCGTGCGAAGAGAATCCGTTTTGAGCCCAGAGAGCCGGCGGGCAGACCTAGACCCTGTCCTACATCCTGCCCTGGGAGCCGCGCGGCCCCTGGTCAGGCAGCCTAACGCGCGAAGCACGAGCGCGAGAGGGTCCTGCTCCGGCCCGGGATGCCCAGCGCCCCTGTTGCTCCCTGAACTAGACAAGACCTCGGAAGACCGCGGCGCCCGAAGAGCTTGTAGCTCGCACATGAACCCGGCCCCCATCGCCTTCACCCCGAGAGGAAGGCAGATTCGTTTTGCCCATACCTCCTAGCCCGCCTGGTCCCGCCCCCGGATCGAGCCCAGAGCAGGAGCCGGAGGCGCTGCCCCGCCTCCCCGCCGGGCTCAGGTTTCGACCCCGGGATTATGTGAACTGATTGGGGGGTTAATGAGAGCAGCGTAGCAGGCAGCCAGCTCCCTCCCAGGCCCGCGCCCGCAGCCCGGCTCTGTGGCTACTGCCGGAGCAGCCTGCGCTTTCCTGCGTCCTCTAAACTGTTGGTTCTCCGCGGACTCCGGACACCGCGCGTTTCCCAGCCACCGCGCGCGAATCCGGCTCGACTTCCCCAGGGTAAGGTTTTTGGTGAGCAGAACGGAAAGTGCTTTTTCCCGTGACTTGGTTTCCGAGGTTGGATCTCCATAGTCTGGAGTGTCTTGTCCCGAACCCTGCCTGTTACCTCTGCACTCGCGTCTCCAAACCAACGTTTCTCCTGCGTGGGGCACGAGTGAGCGCCGATCAAGATCGCTGGGAAGCGACTTCTCGGTGCAGGGATCGGTCCTTTGCCACCTGCACACTACCTCCCTGCCTCCTTTCTTCGGCCTTTAATGGCCCCAGGCCTTCTGCTGCTGTCCCCTCAACCTGGCTCTAAAGCCAGCCCGAGGTGTCGCGTCCCTGCCCCCTTTCACTGAAGTCTGTAACTGGCTCTTGGAGGGCTTGGCTCTTTGCCTCAACCTGGTCTGCGGCCATCGACACATCCCCTCGCCCTAAACTGATCTGCGCTTCTACTCCTTCCTCCCCGTACTCAGGCAGGCAGTGAGTGGTTGAGTCGGGGTAACTGGCCCGTTGGGGACACCGGCTTTCCGAGAGTTTACCACAGCGAGTTTTGCTAGGGAAGGGGAGGGGCGTGGGCAGGACAGAAAGAAGAGGCCTGAGTGTGGGCCCGGGGAAGGGTTTCACTGATGAGCTGTGGCGGCGGCGGGCTCGCGCCACCTGTCCGAGTGCCACCTGGTGAGCGTAGTGCAGGGGGGGGCAAGCCCCACCTCCCCCGGGCCTTCTTCCCTCCTCCCCGGCCCGAGCTCTCTCTCTGCTCGGCTGCCCAGTCCCGGGCCCCGGAGCGTGCTGACCCTGCGTTTCTACCCTGTTCTCCTCTCGCAGGTCTCCGCCTGGCTGGGGCTGAGCAAGAATTCGGGTAACGGTGGGCTGACTGCGGCTTCAGGAACCCTTGGAACCGAGTGGGGAGCGCGCCCGACCACCATGCCGCGTTCGTTCCTTGTCAAGAGCAAGAAGGCTCACAGTTACCACCAGCCGCGCTCCCCGGGACCCGACTATTCTCTCCGCCTGGAAAATGTGCTGGCGCCGGGCGGAGCAGGTGCGGGGCGCGCGCGCGCCGGGCCGGGCTGCTTCCGGGGCCATAGACTGCGCCCCGCCACAGCATCCCTCAGGAACCGGGAAGGGCGATCCTGACGCCCCTTTACTGCCCTTTTTCGGTTTCCTACCGTTCGGGTTCCTTCCGGCCTCGTCGCCTAGGTGCCAAGGCCTCTCTGCTCCCGCTCCTGGATCCCGGAGTGTTCCGGCCAGGTCTGGGGTGAGAAGAGGGAGCCCAGGTGCCACTGTCTGGGCGGCCACCACTTAAAAGCCATCAAGCCCACCAGACCCAGCCTGAGTCCCTGTCCTACCTCCTCTCCGCAGACAGCACCTCGAGCGCAGGTGGGGCGAAGGCGGAGCCCCGGGGCCGTTTGTCCCCCGAGTCTCAGCTGACCGAGGCCCCTGACAGAGCCTCCGCGTCCCCTGGCAGCTGTGAGGGCAGCGTGTGCGATCGGAGCTCCGAGTTTGAAGACTTCTGGAGGCCTCCGTCGCCCTCTGTGTCTCCAGGTAGGGACCCTTTGGGAGGCACGGACCCCGCGGTAAAGAATGAACCCGCGCGACTTCGGGCACAGAAAGGCTAAACAGGGAGGCGCCGGGTTCTCTACGACTAAGAGCCTGCTTGCAGGGTCTGGGGTCTGGATCGGAGACAGTGGGACCTGGGCTGTGCATTGCTAATATTTGTTTGCACCGAGCCGGTGGGTGAGAGAAAATAAATAAGTCGTCTCAGGCAGCAACGTCGACTTTTCGTTTTCCGACCAGAGCTGATTGTTTAGAAAGAACTGAGATCCCAGGACCCAGACCCCAAAGTCTCCGACGGAGACCTGGGCAGTCTGAGAGAAAAGAGTCGTTGCGTTTAAAAATTATGCTCGCTCCCGTGGCGCTGGACCTGACAGAGCTAGGCGCCAAGCGGAAGGGACTGGTCCCGGACCAAAATCTCGGCTCCCCGCTGTGTTTTCGCAGGCGTGGATTGGGGGCCTATTTCATTTTTCGTTCTGCCGGCTTAGCCCAGCCTTGCGGACCAACCTACGGGTTTCATTTACAGCCAGCAACCGAGTCTCTCGCAAACTGAGTAACTGCACTTTGGATGGGGGCGAATCTTGGGTGCCGGAAGGAGAGCCAAGGGCCAGTTATTTCCAGATCTCATTTAACAGTTTTAGAAGATATCCCCAGCCCCATCCCACGCTCAGTGATCGACGTGGCTAAAACCGTAGCTCCAGAGAGTCCTTCTGGGATCTGGCGGCCCGAGAGTCCTCGGCTATGCAGGACACCGTCCCGCAAGGCCTGAGTGCCGCCGGAATCTCTGACGGAAACTCAAAGCGCAGCTTCTTACTGAAGCGGCCAGCCTGGACTGCACTCTGCGGTGTGTGTGAACAGATTTGATTTGTAAATCCATATGCAGTTAGAGAAAAGTACATATTGGGTTTCTGGTTTTAGCAACATTTACACGGGTGGCGGTGCAGAAGGCCGCGAATTCACAAAGCTGGTCACCTTGCAGGAGGTGGCCAAACCTTAAATTGTAAATTATTCTCTAAGAAATTTGTGGGGTTTTCTCCTGTCAAACTATGACGAGAGTGGGAATGGAAGTACTTGACAGGCAGTTCAAGACCCAAGGCTTCTTCCAGCTGCCCCTTTGCTACCTGCACTGGGTATTTACTAACTTTGAGGAATGTTAACGCCTTCTCCGTCCCCCCCCCCCCCCCCCGAGACAGACACGTCTAGGGTAGGCCGGGCCGCATTTATTGCTTCTCTTCTTCCCTCCTTATCGATTCCGGGAAAGAAAAAGGACGGAGTGGGAACACCACACGCAGGGGCCGGGAGAGCGCCCGCCCACGGGCGCTGTCCAGGGCGGGGGCGGCCGCCTCCTCCCGCGCAGGTCCGCTCGGCTCAGCGCTGCTTTGAAGCGAGTCGCGCCTTTCTCTGTGGGAGCACCAGGTGTGCTGGTCTGGCCAGAAAAGACGCTCTTAACCTGGCACGGAATTTACCTCTCTCCTCACTCGGTGTCATTTTAATTTTCTGTTTGCTTGCTTGGCTGCCTCCAAGGGTCCTCAAGGCCC